TTCCTTTACTTACAACTTACAAAGTTACAAGCGAATGTAATTTGGTGAACCTTGAACTTGTGGTTTCAAAGTTAAGAGGTGAATTTCTCACTAACTTCACCAAACATTCTTCATTACAATACTATGGTGTTTTTTTTTTTTTTTTTTTTGAGGAAAAATAATACTATCGTGTATTATGAGCTCATTATAGATGTGTGAATAGTTAAAAAGTCAAAGCGTTGCGAATAATTTGGTACGGAGGGAGTATTTATTAATATTTATAGTCAAAATTAATATAAATACATATATAAATAGTGTAAAAGTCAAATTATTACAGTGAAATAACAATAGTATATACTTCATGTATTATATACTCAATATGGTACAAATTGTCCATCATTTTGATGATTCAATTTGTGTTTTTAGATTAATCTTCAAATATTTTTTATTTTAAATTTGTCAATCACTCATACTAATAAAATCCCTCAAAATTAAATACGAAAAAATCGTGTACTCCACGAGCTCATGTTCCATAAATTATGAAAAATATATAATTCCACCTCAACTTGATTATAAAGTACATTAGTACCAATTATTAAATTTCTTAAATTAAAGGAAAATTTGCAAATTGCAGCCATTTAAAATTCGTATTTTGCAAATTGCAAATTACAGCCCAAAAGTTCATATAAATTGTAAATTGCAGCCTGATTCAACTTTTTCATCGGTTTACAAGTTGAAAATCTTCGATTAAGGTTTTAGGGGCCATTTTATTCCTTAAGATTCCGAATTGAGCTCGGAATTAGCAAAAAAAAATAACGCAAGTATCTCGTTTTGCGTAACAAAAGTGTATCGATTTGTGGGGAACTGTAAATATGAGACTTACGTTTTTTTTTGCTAATTCCGAGCTCAATTCGGGTCTCTAAGGGCTAAAATGACCCCTAAAACCGTAACCGAAGATTTTTCAACATGTAAACCGATGAAAAAATTGAATCGGGCTGCAATTTACAATTTATACGAACTTTTGGACTGCAATTTGCAAAAAAAAAAAATTAAATGGCTGCAATTTGCAAATTTTCCTAAATTAAATTAAAGAATATTAGGATAATATTATTAGCCGTTGACAAGTATGACAAATACCAACCCAATCCAGCCACCTCACACATAGTCAAACATACAAGCAACATAATACAAATGTTATATTTCCAACTTAAGCCAGCTTACATTATTTCAGACTTCGCCAACAAACTTTATCTCTTGATTAATTAATATCTCTTCCTCAATTAATCAAACAAACTCATGAAATTCTTTCGTATAAATTCTCCATTTTTTCCCATGAAATTATAGCCAAATTATTGTTATTATTCTATTTCTATGTTATTTACAATGGATGATAACAAACATTGGAGATCATTATCATGCTCAAGCAAAAACAACATCCCACAATCAACTTATCTTCTTAAAAACTTCTCGGAACACCATAATGGCCGGCGTTTGTCGTTCGAGCAACCCCGTGTGGAGGCCGAGGCCGAGACAAGGGCAAGGGCAAGATCAACCTCATCACTACCAACAATATCATCAATTTCATCAACTTCATCATCTAAAATGCAAGGGTTTTTTAGGAGAATAAGAAGAAAATTTAGAAAAGAAAAGAAAACTTATGGTTCAAACCCTATGATAGTTCCTTATAACTCTTATACTTATTCCAAAAACTTTGAAGATAAAGATTTGGCCTTAGCTGAGCCTGATAACTTGTCTAGATCATTCTCGGCTCGGTTCGCCACCCCGCCTTCGGTCATCCTAAGGGTTCAAGCTATAAGATGAAACAATTTTTATGCAAAGGCTTCTTCTTCATTCTGTATTTAGGTTGGTTAAATTATATTAAGAGATTATAGCTTTATATATTTTTCTCTTTTATTTATTTATTATATTTTTTTCATTTTTCAAAACTCTAGCCATGCATCATCCATAATTGAGGGATTTTTTTTTTTTGTTTTTTTGTTTATATATAAATTAGATACGGAAACTTATTGAAACTTATTAAACCTGATTTTATACATTTACGTAAATTAGTAGATATTTATTGTATATTTGTATATGTTCGTGCATGAATTTATGATTCGAGTACATTATTATTATTAATTTTACGTTACGTTGCACTAAGACGACAATTGTCTTTTGTCAAATCTTAGTGTTTCATAACCACTTTAATATTAGTTGATGGATAACTTTAGTTTCTCCTAAAAAAAAATGATCTTGAAATGAGTTACTCCATAATATAGTTTAATAAATCACGGATAATATTTACCAATTCTATTTCTAAATAAATACTTCTAGATTTACTAATTATATTTTATTATGATGAAAAGGGTAGAAAACAATTTTTTAGAAGCTAGTAGAATTACCAGCTTGTTGCCAACAATTTTCTTTTAAGTATTCTCCTTGATTGATGTCTTCACTTATTTTTTTTACTAAAATAAGTGATAAGGAATAATCAAGTTAGATCAATCTGCCACTAAAATAAATTTATTAGATAAGTAAAAATCAGATAAATTAAATACATTTTAATTGAGATGCAAATTAGCTTTGAGCTAGCTTAGCTACTCGATCTCTCCATTTCTCATACAATTGTACGTCTATTTGCATTTTGTGTAGTCTCCAATATATAAATTTGACGATTAATATATTTAATTTCATGTTAAGATAAATTTCAAGTAGATTTTGAAAATACACAATAAAACGAATTAACAAGAACAGAAGAGATAGAGTATTATTATTGTATGCATATATAATGAAAGAGATGTTCAATATTGCCTACTTATTTTGGTAACTATTAAATCTTAAGTTTCTCAAGTCAAGAAATTAGTGAGGGCGCATACACTATATTATGCTTGTAATCATTAATTTATTTTAAAGCTATTTCAATGATATGACGTATAAATCACTTGGTACAAACTATTCTTTGATAATAACCATTAAAATCAATATGAAATGATTAATTATTGGGTATTTACCCAATCAATCAATTAGCTAGGTCAAACGTTCTCATCTATCATAAGGATAATAGCTGAATTATTTAGACTTTAAATTTTAAAGAATAGTATTCTACATGATTTATGACATATGACTGAGAGGATTACAATATAAAATAATTAATTAATTAATTAATATTTCTAAAAGTCAATTAAGAACAAATTAAAAGTGACAACCCACAAACCATGATTTTTGATTTTTTTGTAGTAACTAGTCAATATAGACAAACTATTGCCTCTTGTTTTATGAATTGGTATTATGATATTGGGCTCCCAGTATTTGACGTTTCTAGAATAACTTGTATTTTTCTAAATTTGGCATGAAAAAACTAACAAACACATTACGATGAAGCAAGAACATCTAGGATAATAAGAATGGCTATATATAATTTCGTACTTTTCTCGTGTATGGATTTTAATCCAAACTCGAAAGATAGTACTCGTATATTTTTTCCCTACAAGATTTCAAATGGACAGGCGAAAGAAAATAGAGGGAGTACGTAGTTTTACCTTTTACCTATATGTACGAGTTTTTTTTTTTTTTTTTTTTTGGTAAGGAAGACTTTAACCAGACCTGAACTCTCATGGTTTTTTTAATTCAGTATGAATTTTTTTTCTATGGAGGCGGATGCACGATGCTTTGTGCATCCGTTTTCTCTTTAAAAACGCGGAATGAACATTTCGTTGTTCAGTAAAGAACATACATTTGTTTTATAAAGAACATATAGTTATTTCATAAAGAACATCACATATAGTTGTATTGTAATGAACATATAGTTGTTTTATAAAGAACATGTACCTATTTTGTAAAAAAAAAACATCCAACTTCATGTCCTTTATATGTATATCTAAAGAACATCCGTAATATTAATTAAAAACAAGATAATTAGAGGTGATCAACTTTGGCTCGACCCGACCCGATCCAGCCCGAAAATAGGGCGGGTTTAGACAAGCCTAAAAGTGAATTTTTAGTTAAAAAAAATCCAAACTCGGCCCGAAAAGCCCACTACATTTTTCCGTTTTGACACGAGATATTATCTTAAGGCCCAGCCCGACCCGAATTTTTTATCATCTCTAATGATAATATATTGTAACGAACATTATTTTTATTCAACCACCATAATCTAAAGACAAAATTCAAAGAATATTTCAAAATAAACAATTAACATATGTCACAAATAAAAGTACATTATTCTGACAATCAAAGAACATGAAGATAGAACATTATTTAACTGCAAATTATGTTCATTACAATTTTATAACATGTTCTTTGCACTTTAAGTGAATGTTCTTTACATTTCTATACAATGTTCTTTACAATTCTATAATATGTTCTTTTCAATTAAACTAAATGTTCTTTATATTTCTATGCAATGTTCTTTCCGCTTTTTTTTGGAAGAGATGCACCATGTGGATCGGGCATCCGCTTGCACGAACCATGCATTGAAATCAGTATTTATGGGCCAAACACTTGGAAGTTGAGGGGATGGTGAGAGAATTCCTACTCCAATAAGTATCCTCCCTTGGTAGGATTCAAACTATAATGTACGAGTATTTACAAGGATGATTTCTTTTAATAAAAATAAACGGAGTACTTTTTTTTTTTTTTTTTTGAGGGACTGGAGTATTTACAATGTTTATATTTCAGCTCTCACTTGCTTCATGAAACCAAAATCATTTCACCATCCAATTCAAATAACACGTTAGTTATGTAACTAAGGTTGTCTTCAACACCTCAAAAAAAAAATGGACTTATGAATATTCGCCATGGCGGTGAGATTGGTGGCTGGTGAGGCTTCAAGCCTTCAATTGTACTCTACTCTAACTGTCAAGCCTTGAAGAAAATCAAGCAGGCAATTTTTTTTTGTAAAGAACAGCAATAATTAGTATCATTAATTTCAATTTAACTGAAAAGAAGTATGCTGATTTGCAAACTCTTCTCTAGAGTTTTCACACATCACTAATTCTAATTACAGTATAATTAGGTGATGATGAATTACAAACAGGGGGATACCGGTTCTTCTCGAATAAATCAGGTAGATTTACAGGCATACAGAACTCAAGTAAAGGTCGAGCCTCGTGTGTGTCCAAAGGCTATTTACAAAGACCATAAGTAATGGAGACCAACAAATGCTAGTGTTACAATGTTAAGATCAAACTATACAAATAAATTTAACAAAATGGATCTCGAGACTAAATTAGAGTTGCCAAGGAGAGGATGCAGATCACAATTACCACATAAACACTGAAATCAATAAATACAGCACGAATAGTCTGGTGAGCCACTAGTCCTCGCTCCAACGTCTCTGCTCTTTCCCAATTAACTCCACCTCCCTTCGAAACCCCTGTATCTTCTTCAGAGGCTTCATATCTTCGTCTTCTGAAAACAAGGTATGCTATTATGACAGTGATTTCTGTCACTAACAGCAAGTATAGCGGCCTTAAAGCAATGATGCTTTTTGAGTTCACGATGTTTACTCCAAGTACTGGATAATCTATGAAAGATAGAACCACTAATAGAGCTATTGAAACAGAACAGATGATACGGGTAGTTTCTGAGGCTATGATGCAGGAACTTAGTTCCTTCGCACTAAACAAAAGGGGCCGCTGGGGGTCTTGTTTTGGTCTTGAATCCTTGTCCTTGCCAGGGAGCCTGTCTTTAACAATGGAAGCAACTCGTAATTCTTGTTCCATATTCAAAGATTCTCGCCTCAAAGCATCCCCAATTGTATTGTCTTTCATCAGGCCTAAACCATGAGTGTCATCAATTTATTTGGTTCATACTATGTAACTACATTTACAGACAAATTGAAACAGGAAATAAGGAGCTATTTTAGAAGATATGCTCATATGACTGAAATTAATAACCTTAAGCATTCTTTGTTTAACACCAAGGAAATGAGCAAAAAGCAAAATAAAACGGCACTATTTAGCTCACCTTATTTCCATTTATTTCAAGAAAGTTAAGTTCATATAAGAGCTAATAAGTTAAGATTTTCGACATTATAAGTTCAAGAAAAATAAGTTCATATAAGATCAAATAAGGGTTAATAAGGGCTACCAAAGTTAAATTTATGACTAAAATAAGTTCTAATAAAGTAATAATAAGTTCAAACTAGTTTCAGATTAGTTCAGATTAATTACGTGAATAAAACACACCCTAAATTCAGATCAGGGGATTATGGTGGAAAAAAAAAGTCTTAGTTCCTTTCTTACTTTACCAGCCCTACAATGCACATTCTGCATTCAGACTTCAGAGAAAAAAAAAAAAAAAAAACCATCAGAGCTACAGCATATAGTGCCATGATTTTAATTGTAAATCTGTTTATTTATCCTATAGCATGGAGAAAGCTATTGATGTACTTAACCAAGTACATCTTACCACTTACAACTACAGAGATTCAGGCATGCTTAAATGTGCAATTCAAGGCAAAGTGCAAATGTACATGAGAGGAAGGTGATGCATACATTAAATTGTTAAGAGGTTAGTATATTAACTAGTCAAAGCTAGATCATTGAAAAATGTCGAAGGCCAAAGCCAGCTAATTGGAAGATGAGTAAACCACAGAAAAAAGCAACCGCTCCAAAAACCAAATACTATAACATACAATAAAAGTCTCAGGTATTATCTCAGATTCACAAATCTTAACAAATTAACGCTGAGGCAAGCATAACAATCTGTTGTCTGCAGATGAGATCGACTTAACTCGAGCATATATAAAGTATAAGCCATAAGGAAAGAAAGGGTTCAACAACTCAAGCAACAAATCAGCTTCACATGAACTTGTAGAACTTTTGTTGTTTGACAATCTATGAATATAATCTCCAATGCAGGCAATCTTAGCCTCTCTATTTGACTAATCTTTTGCTCGAACTCTAAGCATAGAGCAACATGATCATGTGTGTGTATTGATCAATTCCCACATCTATCAATTGAAATTACACATTCAAGCTGAGATAGTTGTTGAATTCCATCTACTTCTAGTGGTTCAGTCAAGTATACCCTTAGAAACATTGTATGCTTTTCACCATGCATTACCATTCAATTCAATGTATAAAGTACTACCTCCGATTTTTATTAGTTGCAACTTTGGAATATTTTATATCTCACAAATAATACCCAAAGTTGCAACTAAAAAAATCGGAGATAGTTATTAAACACCATTCAAGAGAATCTCTCATTTCCCATTTTATGTCATTTTTAGATCTACTGATCCCAAGCATTACCAAAATATTCCATTCCTCTTAAACTTTTCTAAGACACTCAACTCTTCAATGCGAAATTGGCAAAAATGGTAAAATAAATAAATAAATAAATAAATTCCAATACAAATAATCAAATATAAATTCCACCCAGAAAATAAGAATAATAATTATGTACAGAATTGTTAAAACAGAAGCTCTAATTCTAAGGAAATTAAACTAATTGATGTTAGAAGTTAGAACCCTAAACATCATCATTTCTGCAAGCAGTCAAACACCCAAAATTTCATAAAGACAAAGTTTGTTAACAAGCTCAATATCAGAAAACCAGAAAATGGTCCAATTTGATGAATCAAATACAATATAAGCAGTACATAGCAGTTAAAAAAAACCAAAAAGATTGAAAATTTAAAGAGTTAAATTACAGCTTTGATGAAATATTGAGAATTAATGAAGAAGAAGGATGAAGGGTTTACCGTTGGGTTGAAGGGGATGATCACATAGATCATGTTTGCCAGTTTTGTTTTCTTCCATCAATTTTTTTTTACCAAATTTAAAATTGTTGTAACTTGTAAGAATCTTGGGTGGCCAGCTTAGGAGTTAGGACATAATGGTCGATGAATTTATTTGATTTGATTTTTTTTTTTTCTTTTTTTTTGAAGAGATTTGATTTGAATATTGAAATAATGTCTTTGCCTCTTTGGTAACACAAACCCGATTTATTTGTTAAATTCATTTCATTAAATAAATAGATAATCTACATATTTTGTGTTTGGGTCGTGTTTTCAACTTTGACAAATTGAACATTAAAGGTGACATTGATCGGGTTGGAACATGGTATAGCACAGTCCAACACGAAAATTGCATTCGGTCATGGTATATAGTTTGTCATTCAAGAATGACAAACACTATTAAGATAGGTGAAATATTTAGATACACGAGTTTGACATAATATGATGACATGTAGGCTTGAACCGTAACACTATTAAGATAGGTGAAATATTTAGATACACGAGTTTGACATAATATGATGACATGTAGGCTTGAACCGTGTCTAGGCCCCCTATTTATAATTCTCGGCAAAGCTAATTGCTTTAGAGTTGCATTATGTGTGGATACTGGATAGAGAAATGAGAAGGACAAAAAAGGGTGGGAAGGAAAGGGAAGAATGATTAATTTTCCTTCAATTTCTTAAACGTAATAATTTAATGTCTTTATTTCTCTCCCCTCCAATTCTTTTCCTTCCTCTTTTGTCATACAAATATAAGACTCCATCGCTCTATTTCCATTCCCTTCTTTTCCATCAATTTCCATCAAAGAGTCTATCATGAGTATTTTTCTCAAAATACTAAAAAAGTGTTAATCATGAGTTTAAATTGCTGGCCCACAATGGTTTAAATTGGGCCAAGACTAGTAGGCCAGCAACTCAACAAAGCAACACTTCCAAATTGGCTAGACCTTTTCAAAATAGGCCAATTTCAGACAAATAAATATCAACTATAGTATCAAATCAAGTTGGGAAAATACATTAATACGTAGTAGAACAATTTTTGTAGCGTGAAGAGGGATATTTATTTTAAAAGTGGGTATAATACAATATTTGTAAAACGTCCCTAAAAAGCAAATTGTTTAATATTAATAAAATAGATAAAGAACAATATATTTTGTAAGACTTATTATATTAGTTGAAATGTTCTTGGCATTTTTCCTTAATTGATATATTTGGTATGATAACCATAGTTGAATCTATTTTTAAATTGAAAATTATTTTGTAAATTATTCCATTGAATAATGATTTAAGATATTCAACATACAATAATTACAATTAATTTATTTTTAATTAGGAGTCTGTTAAAATTAGTACGAATCAATGCATATTAGTCTCAATGAGTCAAAGTAATTTTAGTCTATGCGTGAAAATACCAAGGTGTCAAATATATAAGTGAACACGATCAGAGTTGATGCGTGTAATATAAATGTGTTACATGAGTAAGTAGCATGATGAATGATGGTGAGTTGATGATGATGGATTAAAACATGAGGCATGAAAAACAACAAGCATCCAAGGATGATGATATAAGGATGCCAAATTTATCGAACTTTTGGTCGTTTTCTTGCCTTGTTATCTAAAACATGATGATACAAGATGATGTTATTGATGTAGCTATATTTATCAAAAAAAAAAGATTAGTACATAAAAAAATAGATGATGTAATATAGGATTAAATTAGAAGGGGGACATAGGGTTTTGACTTTGTGTTGGGCAAACAAATTTTTTTTAGGAAAATTTTAAGATGTGAAAACTTAATTAGTCATTCATTTGGACAGATAACAAGAATTTTATCAAACCATTAAGTTGGGGAAATCGAGAATTGAATTTTGATGCCATGGATGAGAGGTATGAGCTCTACCATTGACTTTCCAATTTTTACTGATCTTGAATTCAAATCTATGTTTATATCAAGTGTGTACTAATTTACTAATTCAACTATACCAATGTTAACTTTTCAAACCTTGAAAAATAATTTGTCATATATATATATATATATATATATATATATATATATATATATATATATATATATATATTACGTACTTGTATTATGTACGAGTATTTATGTAGTATATGTACATACCACGAAGAAAAAAAAAAACTTGGAAGTAACCATCAAATATAAGAAAACATTGATACGGAGTATGAAGTAATAAATTAAAGATTTTCCTTTCATCTTTGATAAATCTCCCTATTGTTAATTAATTACTCTTTTCAATCCATGAATTTCCAAAAATTGATTTGAATTGAATGACAAAAGATGATTTGGTAGCGGCAAGCTCCAATCGAAAAGAACCGCACGTAGACTACGGAGACATATAAATAAGGCTTCTTTAATGATGGATCACTTTTTAATTTCGTAAACTTTCTTTCCATACTTGGTGGTGAATCCAAAGCTATAAATGGTCTATCCAAATTGATTCGTTGAACCACAAATTGAGGTAACAATACTACATATTGTAAGTCATTTAATGCATATATATTATGGAGTAACTTAAGTTATAACTAACATATTCAAACTAGCACTGTCAAAACGGTTTGACAGTTCGGGTTCGGTTCAGTTTGGAATCGGTTCGGTATTAAATCGAGTCGGTTTGAAATCGGTTTAAGTGTCTCGCGGGTCGGTTTCAGTTCGGTTTAAATACTTATCGGTTCGATTCGGTTTCGGTTTATTCTTGATCGGTTTTAATTCGGTTCGGGTTGTAAACGGTTCGGTACAGCCGGGTTGCAGTTTGTTAACGGTTCGGTGTAAATGGTTTTTATACCGGTTCAAACAGTTTTGGGTTGGAAACGGTTTCGAGTTAGAAACGGTTCGGTTCTTTTTCGGTTCAGTTTTATTTTGGTTCGGTTTGTTAACGGGTTTGCCTTTTATACGATTTAACGTTATTCGGATCAGTTCCATTTCACGTTTACTAAATTATGGTTCGGAACAGTTTTTTATTTCAAAAAGTCGGTTTTTAATCGGGTCGTTTGGATTCGGGCAGTTAAACGATTTTGGTTTGAAGTTTCATAGTACTTGCTAACCTTTTGCTGGTTAACAAGTTTTATATCAAGCCGAAACTTCATCACTTCATATTTAGGCATTAGGCATTATATTATATACAAATTCTCATCGATTTCAAAAATACATATCATGTTATTTGAAGTTTAGTCATATTGATCTTACTAGTTTATTACGAATTAACGTAGATTATAAAAGTTTAGTGTATTAATGAATTATTATTGTTTTACTATCACATTATTAGCTGCTTCTTATTCAATCAACTAATTGATGTGTCATAATCATGATTTGATGAGTTATTGTGACGTCAAAATTACAGTTTGATTTATAGACGATTCGGTTTGTAAGTGGTTTGGTTTATAAACGGTTCGGTGCAAACGGGTTGCAGTTTGTTAACGGTTTGGTGTAAACGGTTTTTACCTCGATTCAAACGGTTTCGGATTGAAAACGGTTTCGGGTTAGAAACGGTTCAGTTCTTTTTCGGTTCGGTTTGCTTTCGGTTCGGTTTAGAACTGGTTCGGTTTGTTAACTGGTCCGGTTCTTATACGGTTTGACATTATTCGGATCGGTTCGGTTTCGGGTTTACTTAAATACAGTTCGGGTCGGTTTTCGATTTTACAAAATCGGTTTTTAATCGGTTCGGTTCTTATTTGGGTTGGTCGGTTTCGGGTAGTTAAACGGTTTCGGTTTGAAATTTGACAGCACTAATTCAAACTATTACTCGTATTATTTTATTCTAAGGTACAATTTTAGTTTGTTAATCAATGTATAAAAAGAAACCCTATTCGTCAAAATTTATCAAAATATAATTTATCACGGAGTAATTTTATTTTTGTATTTGCCATTATATTACGATAAGGTTTTAATGGCAAATACAAAAATAGACATAAAAATATCAATTACTCCAATTAAAAACTTAATTCCAATTATGTGAGCCAAAATTAAAATTAATTCAATGCTACTAGTTTTAGCTCCTACAAATAATGACGTGATGCAAACATAACATACCAACTTTATTATATTTCACATAATTAGTACAAAATCATTAAATAGCCAATGGAGTAACTTTCTTAATATTGCATTTATACTCTAACAAAAAATCTTAAAGGATCATATCTTAGAGCATATATATTAATATATGGTAACAACTCTTTCCTGATTCCATATTCAGGTAGATTTAGCCATTAAAAACGTTTAATTTCATGAAAGCATTTATACAAATATCTTATGTTACCATTTATTTTTTCTTTTGAAAAAATAATATCTTATTTTACCTTGGAAAGCTCTTTAAGAAATCAATATAATAGCAATCCAATTCTTTGTATATATTTGCCATCAAATTCTACTTCCCCATATAAAATCATATCAAGCTTTGTAAATTAGAGAGCAAAAAAAAAAAATGTCTAAGAAACTCCAAAAATCCCTTCAAGATTACCTCTCAAAGATCAAAAAACAAACTCCACACCTCCAATTTTCTCATAGTTCCCTTTCCTCCACCACTAGAAAGATTGTGGCGGGGTGCAAGCACCCTAAGAGCCTCTCGTTCACCGGCAAGGACCGGCGCAAAAACCACCATGATCAACAACAACACGATGAGGAGGTGGCCACGGCGGCCACCTTGGAGGACATTGATAATTTTCTTATTGAAAATTTCAAGTCATTGTATGGTCAAGGTCATGATAACCATATTGATGATGGTTATGAGTCAACAAATGAAGGGAAAAATGGGAAAAACACTCTCCAAGAGTATCAACTTAACCAAATAGAAGATACTATTGGTAATCATGAGGGATTAGGGAGACTCTATGAATCTCCAAGATTTTTCACTCCCCCTCGCGATCTCTGTGGGTCCCAACGTTTTTTTTTTTACCTCTTCCTCCTCAAGTTCATTAGTTGAGGAGGCGAGGATTAGTGGTCAAGGTGGGCCCTCGTCCTCATCAGAGGACGAGGAATCCCCCTTAACACCCAAAAGGGACACCCAAACCCACCCCCAAAACTACATTAAGGATGGCACGTCTGCCATCCCGGGAGGAATAGAAGATTGTATCGCGCTTCTAACGGTGTCACCAAGTCCATATGAGGATTTTAGGAAGTCCATGCAACAAGTGTTAGACGCCAAGGTTAACAACCAAGAAAGGGTAGATTGGGATTTCATGGAAGAATTATTATTTTGTTACTTAAGGTTGAATGAGAAAAAACAATATAGGTACATTCTTAGTGCATTTGTGGATTTGATTGTGGTTTTGCGTCAAAATTCGAGCATTAGAGGGCCGGAAGGGTCACGCAATTAAGAGAAACAAAATTAACAAACAAAAATATAATAATTAGGTAATCTCTAAAAAAGTAAAAATGTTTATTTGCTAGTCACATTAGTTTGTAGTACTTTATTTCCTCCTTATGTTATGCATATTACTGTACTTGATTTCTCATTGACCGTCATGTTTCATGGGTAAAAATCATAAATGTGAAGTGAAATGTAACGAATTCCTAAAAATCTTTGATTTAGGGCATTGATCTTTGTTATGTTTGTGAGTTTTATTTGTTGTACATTCAACGTAGTGTTTACGGGATTTCTTGATCTTATAAGCTTTCATTTTAGAACTCTCGTTAAGTCGTTATAATGTGATAAGTAATGATTTTTAAGTACGTTTGAATGCAATTGTAAAGGTTTCATTTTAGGGCTCCTGTTATGATGTAATAAGTAATTGATTTTTAAATACAACGTTATAAAAGCGCAAGAGCATAAGATAATTTATCAATAGTATAAATTACGATGTTATCTATGTACTTTGAATTACATACAAGTATATTATTTGAGAGCATACTATTCTCACCAACTTTTATATGTGGCCAGCCATTAGGGAGATTATTCGGTCAGTCTAATAAAGGAAAAAATTAGGTGAATTATTCGAACCCAGTTTATCTAGCAGGACTTTGGCTAAAATTTCTGTCCCGGAGCATAATTACAGCCCGAAATGCCTTTCAGCTCCGGTGGCCTTGAGCCTCGCCCTACACAACATTTACCCAGGTATAGACAGATCTTCACCCCGTAAATTTGGCATGGCCCATAATTATACCAAAAAGAAAGATCAGGTAAAGAACCCAACAGGTGAAGGGCGACAACAGATAGTCTTTCAAATAGAGGACTATGCAATTCTTAATGATATGTATGTTTTTTAGCTATGTATAGCACATTTACATAGGGAAGGAATAAGTTTCTTCAACGTTGGCCAAATCCTTCATTCCAGTAGACATAAATCAAATGGTAACAGTTTATAAATAATATATTATCAACAAGCAGATATTCTTACAATTTACGGTTTATCTGTTCCATCAACTGAGTTACAATATTCCTCATACAAAGTATGATACTTCTCTGGGATATATTGCTTGAATCTGTCACAAATCAGCAGAAAAATCATTCAGGCATGAACATAACATTTGTTGTTAAATTGCTATAATACTGAAATACAGAGTAAGGAATATAGGATAGAAACATAGGTATGTAAATCAATAATAACAAAAAAAGGGGTGGGGATTCAGTGATCAAAATAATTGTTGCAAAACAATAGCATTTCTCAAATATCCTAAAATTGCTGTTGGTCATTATGTGGTTTGAATTCCAATTGAATATGAAATTTATGCTTAGGGTACAGAGATAGTGCAAAAAGGAGAGGATAAACATTCAAGAGCGTTAGTATTGCTGACTATTGCATACAGTTTGACCATGTAGCAAGTAATCTTCAATATAATATAATGAGAGAGTGAATAACGATTTCCCTCTGCTGTATTGATCCTAATGGTGCGAAATAATTATACATTTATACATGTATGCGTGCACAGTAGCTGTGTGTGTGTGTGCGCGTGCACGCGCGCGTGTGTGTGTGCGGAACATGGGCAGTAGATATCTTGAGTGTTACGGTACTTGGAAGGTGATTCCAACACTGCCAACATAAGGACGGGCTTACCTTTTTAGAAGAGAAAGCCTTTCTTGCCCAGAAAACAGTTTTGCAATAGATTGCAAAACAGAACCGATTTTCATAGTTTTTGACTTCAGTGCCTTCAAATAACCGACAAAATCTTTGTACTCCGACTCATTTAGTTTCTGTTGGACCTGCAAGGTCAAGAGAAAGCATTTGCATTGAGCATTTATTCCATTTTAGATCATAAACCAAATAATTATTAACAGCTCTGAGCCCATTTGTTGTGTAGAGAAAACATGAGAATTCCTAGATATTACCAATGGTTAGCATTGGCCTGCAATAAAGCATGATAAACGATTCAAAGCAAACAGGAAATCCTCCTTTACATCGCTGAACTTTTAAAAATGCAAGCCAAAAAAAACTATTGCATGTCAAAGAGTTGCAACATAAGAGTTCATCACTTGAAACTTATCATACCACTAATTCATTAATGCTGCTAAGCCACTCAGGCTACAGCATGCAGACTCTAACACGGGTTCTATTTTATCCTACGTAATAAAATTGGAGAAGTCATAATCTGATATTAGATAAAGGAAATCACCACCTCCAACTCCAGTCCTGGATTAATTTTCATTTAAATGAGCTAAAAGGTTTGGGTGGTGGGTGAAGGAACAAAACTAGTTTACTTACTTTTACTGCTTAAAAGTTAGCACTTATGATGGAAGCCTGGAATATAAGTCTCATAGTTTTATACAGCTAAATTCATCTGATAACGAGTCCAATATCTTAATGATAGATAATTCTTATCTCCAACATCTTACACATATATACTGAAACCCCCTTATAGCTTATCTGACATTTTCAGACGTGAATTGAGCTTGGTAGATCTTATCTGAATAAAGTTTCCCTATAATTGTCTATTAAGGTGAATAATAAAGGGCTACGTATCCAGCAACTATGTATCACAAGTACAACTGATTATCTCATAGACAGGCAGAAAGGCATATCTCTGCTTCAATAGCTCAGAATGCCGAACAGTTTTGCATCATACATGAATAGGACATTATCTGGAAGTATTCTTAATAAATGCAGAGACAATTACCTGAGCTAAAAAATTATGTCCCTTAGCTTCATCATTCTGGCAAGATGAAGAAAGGGTACCCTGATTTGCCTGGCTGGAAGATGTTGCTTGAGCAGTCATATTACCACCAACCTCTATTGAAGGACTAGCAATGCTGCTTTTCAATTTCTTAGTCAAACTAATTGGACATTTTACTTCTTCCATATAGCCATTTCTTAGCACAGTGTCTTTCAATTTCACTTCTTTGATGCCAGAGGTCATCTCCCAAGGAGCCTTTTTGTACTCTGTATTGTCAGGCTTCAATTCATGAACTCCCTTTCTCTTAGAAGAGCAACTAACAATCGATTCAACATCTAGATTTCGATTAGATGAAACATTACTTGTCAAGTCAACTATTTCAGAGGTCAAATGCCTATAACTTGTCCCAGAAGGACGCAGCTTGCTTCCACTCCCAAGTAAGATACTCGGTTGCATTTGCTTTTGACGCGCAAGGGACGATTGATTAGCAGGAAGAAATTCATATAGCTGCCTTTCACTTTTGCCTCTCTCAGCATTGTTTCTGGCAGATGATGACACCATACAGCAGTCTTCATCCACAGCCTACCAAAAAATTCCATAAATGTAGTGGAATAGTTAGTGGGAAAAGGATTCATTAACAGCATATCCATATCCCAGCAGAATGTTCCAGATCATGCAATATGCAACCTTACCACAGTTTTGAATTTCATTTCTGAACAACAATTGTCACGAGAAAGAGAGGCCTTTTCGCTGCATGCCTTTCCTGCAGAAAGATTTCAACTGTCAAGTTTCAACCATTATTCCTATAGTCCTGCTGTAACAAGTGATATAGAGTACAATAGTACATGGTCTACTGTACAGCAATGTGCAAAGTCGACAACTTAACACGATAATATATTTTTGTAAAAAAATGAATAAATTATTCATTCAAAAATCACAGAAACATCACTGAGATGTAAATTAAGTCGCTTCCCCCAAATCATTTTGGGACTAAGGTTTTGTTGTTGTATGTGAATGAAGTCGCAGAAAGAAAATGAACACTTATTATTTAGTATGATCTTTTATTGGTGATCTTTCACAGTGGCATAAAAGGCATGATAAAAATAACTTTTTAAAAAAAATAGATTCATTCTTGCCTTCTTGCAGCCATGTGATGGCAGAAAAGTTACTAAGGGCACAAGTGACAGAGTAACTGATTGCAAATTAAGAGACTTGAGAAAAACTGCAGTTGTAGGACACAACAGTACAAACAACGTTCATGGCCCCGTGAATAGGACAATAAATTAATACTCCACAAAAAGAATTTACATGAAAAAATATCACCAACAAAAATACTTAACCGTTGTAAACAGCTTCTACAGGCTCAGCCTTTACAGAAAGATGAGCTCCAGCACGAAAAAACCGGGTTAAGGAGTATACAACATCCCCAAATTTGGAATAACACTGCAACATGAAATCCCAAATTTTAGAAAGACCAGAATTAGAAAATGAAAATCTTCACAATTGTACGTCAGATTGAAAAAGAACTTCACAAATGCACCTGGATATGAGGCTGTATCCAACGTGAAACTTGGGCCTGACGATGTGATGATGCAAACCTGTTTGAAACTAAAAAATTAACCATCAACCAAGCCAAAACTTTGATCACTAGATGACTAATCAAATTCAATTTTGCGTAATAAGAGTATATTGTGTACAAACACATGACTTCCAAGTTACACTTTCTTGCATAAATTTACATGTTTTAGTGCTACTCAATTTACACAATAGTCTAAGACATAGTTCAATCAAGCACAAAGTAGAATTGCTCAAAAGAGAAGCCAAAATCTTATTATGTGCTCCTTTGCTCTCATAAGCATGAAAAGCTTATGACTAAATCAGACAAGATTGTCATTCACAATTAGCAAGTCCACAATTCATAATCCTGAATTCACCTTATTGCATTTTATCTTTTCCATCTTCTTTTACTCTTCCTCTTGGTTAACCTTAGATGTGCAGAAATTCAGGACCAGTTAGTCAGTCACTGCACAGATCACAGAAACTTTTGGGATAAAAATCCTAGTGTCCGTATTCACCAACCTAAAATGCTAAATACATGGCCAGCCAGATAAGACAGCAAATTCCCATGGATAGGAAGTAGGAAAGCAATGAAAAATGGATTCAACGGTCCGGAATCAATTGGTAGCTAATTCTCCAGTACAAGATTGTGTACAAATACACTGCTACCGATTATAACTACATTAGGCCAAAATATACCACTTCCATGTATTTATACTCCTTTCATCAGTTGCAGTTCGCGAGGGGATTAGGGAATCAGATAATTACGGTTGAAGATGAAGCAATTATAAAGAGAGGGTTTAGACGCTCACAGATCATGATATGCTATGAAATAAGGTCACTATCTGGAAATTTGTAGTCAAGCAAGAAGATTTTACTTTGCTTCAATTACTTATTGGCTGGTTGAGTAAGGTATAGATCAATATTTATTTCGGATGGGTTAATGAAGGAACACAGAAAGCATGAACACCAAGACATCACAATCTCTATATTCAAGATAATTGGGGAGAGGAAGCAGCTTTGGATTAAAGTCGCTCTACAAGACAGGTTTTGAAAAAGGTTATGCTTAGTACATTCAGCTGCATGACTGAAATAAAAGGCTCCTTTACCATTAAGAGTTGCTAGAATCCTAGTGTCCCTTCTGTAGCACTATGGAACGGCAAACTCCTCCAAAGGTCTTATCTCAAAGAAAGATTCCATTTTTTCCTAAAGTTCTTTCTCCTACAAACTTTATCATAGTCAGGACTCAGGAGTTCCAGAATATAAGAAAAGAAGTTCCAGTGGCTAGGAAAAGAAAAAAAATAGTTGCCTAGGATCACAGGACAGTTAAACTTGGCACCTTGAGCAAGGAATCAAGTGGTGCATGCAAAAGGAGAGGAGCAAAGGACGTTTGAGATTGAAGTTTCATACTTTCATCTATTCAGATCAGTGAGTTTAAGTTGTCAGAAGGTGTTGTCTAGCTGGATCCAGTGCTGCTTTATGGAATAGCAGGTATTCTCTTAAATTTGAGGTATTAAGTAGAAGACAATATCCTGAGGACACCAAAAGAATTTAATTTTCATCCCTCCGCTTGTGTATGAATGGCATTACGTGGGAAACAGGAAATACTACGTAATATATAAGTAGCTCAGGTTTCTGCTGTCATTCAACGATCACTATTGACAGACTTTTTGTTTTATACTGAAAGTACTATGTCTTCCTGACTGTACTCAATTATAGATAAGAATGGGTAAGTACTGTGATGAGCTTCATTTTTCAGTGGTATAAATAAAATATATTACACCCAATTGCCACACTGAAAGAAAAAAAAAATTAATAATAATAACAGGTTTTATCAAGCAAATTGATACGACAGATAGACAAAAGAAACTAGGATAATAAATGTTAATGCTTAGGAAATTGATAACAAAGAAATGGAGTAGCAACCTATCTTGCAAAAAAAAATGAACTTTCACTAAGTCACAGACCTTCAAGTAACATAGCAGATTCACTATTTACTGTGATTAGCAAAAGTGGAAAGAATTCATCAAAAACACTAATAGGAACTAAGTAAACCTTTCATCGCAGAATATTATTGCTCCATAATCATGCCGATGACGGATTACACGTCCAACAGCCTGATTTACAGCCCGAGAAGCTTGTTGATCATACCATGCTTCTCCTGTTAGAGGCTGTCATTGAAGATCTTCAATTAGCAAGAGCAAAAAAATCCTTTTCAGAAGCAACCTTATATGCTCCATCCACATACCTTATGACCTGTATTTTGATCCCGTGCATGTTCATCCAAAAATTCACGTTTAAGTCGGACCTACAGTTAACATATTGTGGGAAGAACTTCAGACCCAATAACAAGAACAAACGATGTAAGTAACCAACCATATAAATAAATAGGAGTAGCTTAAATTTCAAGGGAAGAACAAACAATTGAATACCACACAATTTTGTTACCCTCTAATATGTTTGGATTGACCATTCTGGAATACGAATATTCAAGGCCAAACTATTCAATTATGTATCACAGATGGAATTAAAAGAAATCAACAATTATGTTCAAGAGGATCAGACCCAAAACAGCAAAGAAGATTAGTGGGAAATCAATCTTTTGAACCAATATACTAAGCATCACATGCTAATCAAATTCGAGATATATATAGAGTAACATGCCCAACATTACTAAAAAGCAAAATCAAATTTCCATACAAATTCTTAATTAAGAAACTGAAGAATTAGCGACGAGAAGTATGTTGGATTTTTGGTCCTTTTATATAAGATGAAGGCTGTTAATAGAGCAAGCTTCTCTTTGATCGCAGTAAAAAGGTTGTGCAAGCCACCCCACAAATTCCACATAAACTACATCTCAGACTCTCAGTACTAAGTTATTTCAAACTCATTTTGCGTTACAAATTCTCCCATGCCTACTATGAAAGCGTTTTCAGGGGGGTATTTTCTCAAATTACTACCTCCGCTTCATATTATGTGCAATATTTACTAGAAACGATTTCTACACATTATGTGTGACAAAAAAAAAAAAAAAAATCCGTTTTATGTTGTCATTTCTTTCTATCTCACCTCATCACATGCATCTCTATCTTCCTCTCTTCATTCAACACTCATGAACTAATTTTGCCAAGGAGTCCGTACAAACTCATTTGTAGCACACAATATAAAACAGAGGTAATAAATACATTTCTATTGTTCCTACTATCCATCAAGCAAAGCTCTTTGCATCACAATGCTTATTGTATCAATTTGACCTTCTATAAGTGGAGAAAATTATGTGTCAATAAAAAAGACATTTAGGGCCTGTTCCGATTGACTGAACTCAGCTGAACTGAACTGAGCTGAATAGAACTGAACTGAACTTATTAATTAGTGATTTTTAACTACGGATTAGTGATCTTTGATTATTTATTGATTATTTATTACTATACATATGTGTATATACAAATGTACATATTATTATTATTAATTATTATTATTATTATTATTAGTATTATTGTTATTGTTATTATTATTATTATTATTATTTATTGATGATTATTATTATTATTTATTGATTATTATTATTAGTATTATTATTTCAATTATTATTGTTATTATTATTATTATTATTATTACTTATTGATGATTATTATTATTATTATTTATTACTTATTGATTATTATTATTATTATTATTATTGTTAATATTATTATTATTATTATTATTATTATTGTTGTTGTTGTTATCATTGTTGTTGTTGTCGTCGTCGTCGTTGTAATAAGAGCTTAAAAGAATAAAATTTGGCTTTATATCATTAGCAATATCATTAGACGTAAATTAAGAGCTAAACTGAACTGAACTGGATTTCAACGGAAGAGAACAGGCCCTTATTGTATGTTATTGATTCAGCACCAACTACAGTGTCCAAGAAGATATTCATATTTTTCCTTTAAAACCATTGCAATATGATATCGAAAAACAGTCTATGATGCATAATATTAAACACAAATTAGTAATACACAAAGTACAGCATGCCGTGAATGGAAATCCTAAATTCTGTTACAGAACAGCTATTACGTAAAGTGACAGCCTTGTTTTAGTTCAATGGTGAATGAGTATTTGTTGACTATCACAAAATGGTTTGGGGAAGTAAAGACAGGAGGACTGCCTGCTGTGATTAATAAAACATACTTTAAGTATATTCACGACGTTAACAATCAAAGAGAAAAAGGTCATGTTTGAGATGATATGAACCACCATGTTCTCAGTTCCGAAACTGCATCCAATTATTCTTTACCAAACATCGATAGAAAGTTGAGTAATCTATGACTTCATCAACAGTATGCAATTGATACTAAAATACTAAACATCATTTGGAAGTTATATAAATAGACTTGAACCTTAGGATCTGTTCTTAAGGCAAATGGCAATCCAGTAACAATCACAGCTCTCCCATATTGATCTGCAAAATCCAATCCTTCACTGACCTGTAAATCACGGTAACACAAGAAAGATAGTTGAAGAAGCTGTCGTTCATTTTCAAATGAAACATGAAAATATAACAGCAATATGCCAAAATAAAGTTTAAAGCTAATAATCAAAGTTGGAAATTTCTTTAAGCACACTTCTCCCAAAGGCTCAAGGATATAAGTTTCGTTACTGGATACTGAACCAGATAACCTAAATGGCCCAGCTCGCAAGTATAGTCCAGACCTGCAATGTGCTTCTGACATATGTCATGTGTACAAAATTTAACTACATCTTCAAGCATAAAGAAGAAAAAGAGACCGAAGAAATTGAAGTTGGGCCAGCGAATGAAAAGGCTCAGGTCCAAAATTAACTAATCTTTCTTATGTTGTCTGACGCATTGTAGTACTAGTACATAAAATACGAGTATGATTTTCTCAAACTAGTATGGTTTCCCGATTTTATGGGTTTGCCGATACCACCAGGCCACCAGCTTCCTTAGATCTTCCAGTCGTAGAAAAGTTTTTGGCTCCTATATCTTTTTGATTGGCTGAAATTTCAAAATTAGAAGGGGGGCAGCAGATTGACGGTTTGCTCCATCCCCAAGATATCCCAAATAATCACGCCCTCCATACTCACAAAAGTTAGCTGTACCCATTTTCAGTGAGAAGTACCAGGGACGTATTTAGGCCATACCTATACCCAATACTTCCCCGGTACGGGAAACACCTTTAATCTACTCAACATTTTTAGGCTCGTCTTCTCAAATTTCCAGGTCAATTTATTTGCATTGAAGCATATATCACATAATCAAGCATCCTAGATCATTTAATTCAATGTGCCAGAGAACATCATAACATTGAGAGCTACATCATCACTATTTCTTATTTTGTACCTTGCCACGACAAACAGCAAAAAACACAGCTCCAGATGTAGATGGATTATTTAACTTGGATGTGAAATCCTGCAATTAATACCATTGCATCAGGTTCACAAGTTGAAAATGGCATAAGAAAGGAAGCCAATTGACGAAACTGAACAGCTAAGTTACCTCAATCGATGTAGAAAATAATGAAGACTGTCTAGGTTCAATCACAGGTTGTTTAAATTTGCAAATTCTTTCCCATATAGTACTTTGACTAGCCAAATTTCCACGAGACTAGCAAAATGAAGCTTAATGTGAAATCATTTCAATGAAATCCAATCAAACACAAACTCTGGAAAAACAACTTATCCAATTTCTTACATGATCCTTCCAGCAACTGATACAATTTTCCATGATATAGTATGACGGGAAAAATACAAGTAGGCCATCGGGCACTATCCGAGCAAAATTGACTGCAATATGAATCAGTAAGACACAAATGTGAGAAACGACAGATAAAGGGAATTGTAAAAAACTTTCGCACTGCATAGAACTGAAATGATACAATATCTCCCCCCCCCCACCCCAAAAAAAAAAAAAAAAAAAAAAAAATCCACGACATACACACACACAGCACAAGCCCTGATCTTAGGATGTCCAAGAACTCGAGCAGAGCTCCAACCAGCTGAGCTACTACTACAGCTCAAGAGGGAAAGGTTGATTGGAAAAGGCCATAATGTAGTATCCTGCAGGATTATCCAAACAAATTTTCACTTCCATTCTTTTCTACGGTCTTAATGTTCTCTCGCTACTATCATACATCCATTAAAGACTGAACATAGCTTCTGAATTCTCTGAAAAAAATTAGATTCATCCTCTAAGATATACGACTGATGCCACAGGTGAATAGGTCTGTTATTTAACTAATTTAAGCCTTGGTCTTCTACAAGGCATATAAAATATTATAGGCCTGGGATTGTGTACAATCAAAATGATAAGCTACTTCCGATAAATAAGTAAACAAAGAATAAGTTGAACTATAAGTCAATCAACTCTGAATCAATGTATCTTTACAGTAGTAACCCATGGAATATATTGTTTGCGAACATCCAAGCTAACGTAGAAAGAGTCAGCCCAAGACAGCCCGTCATGCGGGCCTGATGATCTTCCATTTTAAAAATTCTACACTCTCTTAACAGCCAAAAAACAATGTTTGACCACATAGAGAACATAATGTATATGGAAATTGAGTCACAGTCCTGCGCCGAGACCAGATTATATTTTCCTTAAAGAAGATGAGGACAAGCAATATCAAAAGAGAAAGTGCATATTATACATTTCTCAAGCCACAGATTATGACAAATACAAGCCAGACTTCATCTACATGAGATCCACAATAATTTTTTCTTCTTTCTCTTTAATCTTAATCCCTCAAACAATAGAGAGACATGATATCTCTTATCAGTTATCATTCACATACTATATCTTTCCCATACATAGTCATAACTCATAACAGAGGTTATAATCACAATACGCCTTAAAATGTATCGTCAATCAAATTTTAAAAGGGCAAAAGAAGAATATTCAGTCCAGCATACCTATGGCATTCCCCAATTCCTGTTTGTATTCTAAGACATCACGAGTCCGGTAAGAAGAGTTGAAAGAATAATTAGATGGGCCCACTGGTACAACTCCGGCCCAGATCTGACTTGACGATATAACATGAGGATTCTCCAATCGTATGGGGAATTCCCTGATTTGAAGAGAAATTTACATTTTGTTGTGGTAAGAGAGCTATTAAGAACATAGTAGTAGTGTAACATAGAAAACCGGCAGTCCCAACTTACAGCTTCAACTCATATGCAAATGAATCCATGGGAGACAACGTTCCTGATGTTAAAATGATTGATCCAACACCTCTTCTGGAGAAGTCTTCCATGCTAATTCCTGGATTGAAGCACCACCAACTGAGTGTCCTAGCACCAGACACATTACCTGAACCGTAAAATAAGTGAGCACTTTTTTCAAACAAAGAACACTCCTCAGAAAATAGGAGAATTAGAACATGTAAACTAGCAAGAAATACAATGAACCCCAACAATCACAAAAACAATCTTCAAAACATGCCAAGATATATTTGGAATTCTCTCAATTGAAATTTAGAAGGCATAGTATTTCAGTAATTGGAGATTTTGGAACAAAAAAAATTAGAAAATACTCAATGGAAGGGACATGATGTCAAGAGAAAAAAGCTAATTAAAGACCAATAATAGCATGGACCTAGGACCACGTTGTGTGCATTCTTGTCCCTCATGCTAATAGAGTTCAATAATTATGAACATATATGTTCAAATATAACAAATATGCTCATCATTTTTTAAATACAAATTCACTTCAGCTGCTGAAATTTTGTCTTCTTTAAAAACACTATGACCTATATCTCCATAAACTATGAATTATACGTTACCTTTGAGCTATATGTTTATATTAATTCAGCTATATCTTTGAACAATACTTCCTCCGCACCATGAAGTTCTTCCCACTTTTTCTTTATTTCATTTTTGCCAAAAGAAAACTATATATTTACCCCACTTTGGCCCTCTTTTATTACCACATTTCTTAATACAGTGTATCTCTCTCCTCAAAAAATTACTTTATATATCTTCCTTGGTATGAGAGAAGGAGACTATGTTTTTTTTATGACAATAACTTTTTTTTTATAAGAATGGAGGATATTTTTAGGATAAGAAGAATGGGGGACTCGCTTGAGGGGGTAGATAACTCGGATAAGGGAAATCCCTCAAATAAGTTCCACAAGGTTTGATCCCTAGACCTCAAGGGTACGACGTGGGCAGCAACGCCACTACACCACCTCAACATTGGTATGCAAGTGTATGTATCTACAATAAATGGGAAAAACTTCGTGAAACGGAGGGAGTATATTCGTAGTTGCTGAGCTATATGTTCAACATTATTAATATAATGTGAAGAATATTTTGGGGATGGAAAGCGTACAACCACTTAAGCATAGAAATACAAACTCCCAAGTCTCCTAGTATTATTCACTAAGAATAAGAGTTTGCATGCACATTTGGTTTCTCCAGCTTGATGATAATAAATAATAAGTAAAGAAAATTAAATACCAAATTTAACTCATTTGAGCTATGAAACAAAAACAGCTATCACATCAACTAGAGTCGAAGTTTTTATAAACAGTGTTAATGATGCTGAACTACGAGAGAAGATGTCCTGACCCTGACAAGTGACAACACTTATATGATAATGTAGAGAAGACATGAATTTTTTCATATTTTCACCACCTATCAGTCTATCCCCCCTCTTTCAAATAAGCATAAATATCTCTAACTCAAGGTTCACCAGGGTAAATCAACAAAACAGTACTCGAAGCTACTAAGTAGTGCAGGGGCTAGTGATTGCAGAAAAGTCATCAGGCTTGTTCATGCTAGACCTTGACTGAAAATGCAGACTTGAAATTATGTATGGAGTACATAGTTAAAGTTGTTTAGAGAATGACATTTAATAGACTAATAATGCAAATTAAAAATTATAAGTTATAATTGTGATAAATGGATCAAATGACATTCCCTTAAACAAACGAACACGTCAACAAACTTCATTTCTTCTATTAAAACATTTAAAACTCCAGATTTAAGCAACTCGTGAAGATTTACCTTTATTAGCATCAAAATCGCTTGCCGTACGCTCTTGAACATGTAACTGCAATTACGCAAAGTGGACTTGTCAGACATCACCTTTTTTGCAAGGAAAGCAATTAAACAATGGAGCAAGAGATCGAGGATAGCAGAACTTACACGGTAATACTTTGCATGAGAAGTATCTCCATCTCTAAAGATCATATTCAGAATATCACCCAAAGTCTCTAACTTGCAGGAGGTTCCATGTGACTCTTTACTTTCAGTTCCATTGGCATCTACAGCAAAGACATGGATTTTGAGAGCAACATATGGTAGTTGGTTGTGTCGATGGTAATAATTTTCACATACGCTTATACATGGATTCTCAGAAGTACAAGCATCCATACACACAAGCATATCCACACAAGGTGACAAGGGTGAAGGGACATATATACGATTGTCAGTAATTCAGATCATGCAAGCTCGTAAACTAACAAAGGCTCCTTGTTTACCTTCTTCAAGAAGCAGAACAGCTTCTTCAATATTTCCAGTGAGCATGCTTACAGTCTTACTGGTGACATTTAAATCAGCAAGTAATTCATAAATATAAGGGCCTGGTCTAGTAAAACCAAGTTCCTTGGACTCAATTGGCACTTCAGCTATTCTCTTCTCAAGCTTCAATAAAAGGGCTGTTTGAACAACAGAGCAAAAGTATCAAATTCAATTTCAGGGCAAAGGCCAGTAGAGATCCCATATAAAATAAAACAAACTTATTCTAGTGAAAAACTATGATAATCAGGTTTTAATAAAAATTAAAAAAATCAAAAGTCCCCATACATCAAGCACTACCAGAGTACCAGTCATAGATCTAATACCTCTAAGGATAGCAAAGTTGTCAGGATTAGAGCTCTTGTCACTGGACTTTTCTATATCTCTTCTTTGGATAGATATGTCAATGCAGCTTTTTGCTTCAGAAATGCAGGCAGACAACAATGAAGAAGGCAAGTCAAAAGACGCTGCATCAGAACATATGCTTTCCTGCATTTTACACAACAGAGAGACTTCAAACTCATCTGCTACTCAAAATTATTTGATGCAGTGCCAGGCTAAGAAAGCAAGAAATTTCCATTTCAACCTAAGCAATAGAAATAGCATAGAAGATATATTTTTCCACTCTTTTATGAGTCAAAAAATGATATAGATTGAACTGCAGACGGCTGAGCAACTGCATAAAAATGTAAGGTATATGGGTTTTTTATTTATAACTTGCAACCATGTAGAAAGGAACACAAACCAAAAAAAGGTGAGAGCAAGTGAAAATGACAAAAATACCCTAATAGGCTAATACCACATCATCAACCAGTCAACCTCTCTCTCCTTAACAGATATGAGACCACTGCCAAAGCTCACCTGAATTCTATGGTAAGCCAGGAAACCACCTCTACTCTTTTACATTTATAGCCCAATGATTTGTTTAAGCAGCACCTACTAAACCAAAGTTCACATACACCAAATTCTATTTCACAAGAATGAGAAGAATTCTTTAAATATGAAAACCAAAATTTCAGAAATTTCCCAAAAAACATCAATTAGAAACAAGAAAATGTATAGTTCAAAGATTATTTTGGAGAAACTTGAAGGGATAGATCTTTCTCTAATTGTAGGCCATGTTGACCAAAATATAGTTGTACAAATTACTAGCTGAGAAGATAGATGATTAAAGTATGAATGTTCTATAAAGTAGTTGTTGATTAGCCCGTCAAAATGTAAGGGTCTGTTCACTTCAGCTTAATTTCAGTTTAGTTGAGCTCCAATTAGTTCAGTTCAGTTCAATTCACTTCAGTTTAGCTCCAATCAGTTGAGTTCAGCTCCTAATTTCCTTCTCTCATAAACTATTCATTTCAGCTCTATTCAATTTAGTTCAGTTCAGCTCCAATCAGTTCAGTTCAATTCAGCTCGGTTCTAGTAAATGTGAAGAGGCCCTAAAATTAAATATACTTTTTCCTAAACTAATATAATAAAAAAAAATAGAAATAAAAGGAGAGAGAGAACAGAAAAGAAAATAAAATCAACTACCATTACTTTTTGAAAACTAATATTTATAGCTTTTGATAAAAGCTACCTCCACAACTAAGCACTACCCCCACGACTACATTGCCAAACACTTTTTATTTAAGTTTGGTCAAACTACTAAAAGCTACTTAAAAGATACTCAAAAGCTAGTGCCGAACACACCCGTTGTAGGACAAAACTTGGTGGCGAAGGTGGTTCCGCTCTTTTTCTCTTTCTCTCTTCATTGTGTCTTTAAGGACGATGACTGTAAATGTGGTGGTTGATCACTGCGACAGTAATGGTGATCATGACGATGGGAGTCAAAGACATTTGGGGAAGAGGTATGCTTGTGGATTCTCGGAAAAGGGGGTATGATTGACTACTTGTGGTGGTGGTGGTGGTGGCGGCGGTGACTTAGGACAATTCAAGTGGGATGGGAGAGGGTGGGTCTGGTGCTTGGTGTTGGGGCTAGGGTTCACTAGCAAAGAAGGTGGGTCTGGTTGGGTTAGGGTTAACTGGCAAAGAAATATTGTAACATATTTCCACCTAACAGCTTGTTGCCTAATTTTTACAATGAAAAAATAAAAAATGAAGAAAAAACACAAGTCAAGGAGGGAGGTGGAATAAATTCCTCAACATAATTAAAAAGAAAACCAGATGTTGGTGCATGTTCTATGGGAAAACGAGGGGAGGGGGTGCTTTGCACAGGCCACAAGGCTGAAGCATTGTTAGTGGAATAAGACAGAATAATCAATCATGAACATAGTAGTGAGCATATATCCATTGTTGACATGAATATTAATGAATCTCTTTTGTAATCTATGAAAAAACAATTAAAGCCCAATTAAAACTATTATCAAAGCATGTGAATAAGCATCAGAGTAGCTGGTTGGTAGACCGAAAGGACAATTTATTTGCCCACCCTTGGGTGATTGGATAGACTTTCATGGTCATGTGTGTGAGGGAACAAGGAGAGGAGAGTATGGAAGAAAATCAAGAAAATATGTAGATTAGGTTCGGGGTTATAACCTGCCTGGAATTACCTGGAGCCCCAGTCAAAAGCAAGGTATACATACAGAGACGATTATTAAAATTATGATTAAGCACACACAATAAAACTGTAATGAACAATATAATTACATACAAAAGTACTAAATAGTGTTAAAATGACAAAGGGCCAGTAGTATAATTATGGAGACTTGACAGAAAACTCCATCAGAAACAAAATACAAGATATCCTACTCACCAAATTATGAGCTTCATCAAATATCAATATGCTGCTGTTCCACTCTATTCCAAGGGATTTTTTATATGCACGTTCAATGAGATAGTTGTACGGAGCAAACAATATGTCAACAGATTTAATCAGCTCACGTGACACATAGTATGGGCACCTACACAAAAGTAACTGGTCACCAATCTCGCTAAACAACAATAATAAAATAGCATACAAGCAAAGCTCATCAATTGCTTGTCACCATTAAGTTCATATGAGAGAGGGGGTGGAGGGGTAGGAGCTCAAGGAAGAAAAATAAGTATACTAGTATTAACACCTACGGTCCACAGCTTTTCCCAACGTTAAGTAGATCCTCGATGTCAATAGGTTCATCTCCAATGTGAGGATTGCTTTTGACGAAATCTGCCAAAGAAAGAAGTTAAACACACAAGTGCGGACACTATAAGATGTCAAGGAGAGACAATCATGTATAAATCTATGCCCAACTAGAGAGAAACTTCTTTAAAATAACTCAGGAACGTCAAAGAGACAATTATCACTCAATTTCCAATAATAGATTCAAATGGGGTTCACTAGTGTAATACATGCTATAAACCTACCAAAATCACAGGGAAACTTTAATCATTAAGACATAAATACAAGGAGACATTGCATCAATAAATCACAAGGAGACATAGCATGAGGGTATTAACAAAAAAAATGTGAATTAGAAGTCATGAGAAGGGAGAACAATATGTAAGCATAACCTTAACAATGGAGATCTAAGCCTTGTAATTTGGTAAATGCAGCACAACAAAATAACTTTCATACACTTTCTGATATTCCTCAACTTCAAATAACTCCAATGAATATAAACAACGTGAACATGGAATGGAAAATTTTCAAAAGAGAACTTTGGTGACATTGTCAATGAGCCAACTAAAGTTTTTTTTTTAGGGTCAATCTCATTGCTCTAATATTAGATTTGTAGAATAGTACTTTAGGCCAAAATTAGTAGTCAAGTGTATAGTATACTATATTAGGATGGCATGAATCAAATGCCACATGTCCTACATATAAATTATAGAATTAGATTTCCAAACATAAACTGTTAAAAATGGAGACTGTAGGAGTGTTTTTTGGTAGAAAGACAGAGAATTCTTAATTATGAGAGGCAAGGGCAATGGAGCATAAATTTGTTGATAGGAGTAATTCATTTTCACAATTCTCTCATGCACATTCAAAACAACCATCTTTATCTTTATGAAAATATGTCATATAAAGGGAGAAAAGGATAATACCGGTTGTAAGCTTGTGATGTTTACAATAATGTTTGCTCCGTCGTTTTCGAGCAAAAGAGCAAGCATTGGTTTGCGCTCTCCCTTTCAGAAATTTGACTTTATCATGAATACAAAGTTGTTCACGAGATCCTAAAATAGTCATTTTCGGTCTGCACAATGAACTCATGTATCAAACAAAGCATACTCATATACTAATATGATAATGCAGCTTAACATAATCAACTAAGCATCTGTTCCACACATTCAGAGAAAATGAATGTGCAACAATATATTATTGAAGAAAAGTAAAATATTAAAACTACTGAGCCCAAAATCAGTGGCACATATTGTGATGTATAAGCCTACACTGCAAGTACTAGATAATTAATTAATAAAGTTAATGAAATGGCAGTAACCAAGCCCCCCAAAAAATCATATAATTTTAAAATTAACAAGAAGGAGAAAAATAAAAAAAATAGATCTTATAGTTGTAGCTTGTAAGACATTCATACAAAAACATACTTCTCGGCTGGCAATAAGGAACAGAAAATATCAAAGAAGAAAGCTCAGTACACATAAGTCCAAACAAATCTACGCCAGCACAACTGCACAATAAAGAAAGGACTTTGATTCAAATTGTCACAATTTCTTTAAAGCGAAATCAGGCAAACATTCAACATATTCACCTGTAATTTGTTTTCTTCAATTCCTGGATCACCTGTCGTAACTGACTATGAGTCCGAGAAGTATATACAATTTTTGGCAGCAATGAGCCAGCAGACTGCGATGATTGGCTATCTGACGACTCGTTTTTATTCACAGATAGACCAGAAGAAAAAGGACCCAAACTTGCCCTATAAGCCAATGTAGCACATAGAAGGCACAATGTTTTCCCAGTTCCTGTTGGACTCTCCAACAATGCATTGCTTTTCTGTCATATCAAACATAATTTCAATTAATCACATTTGATCATCCACCAACAAAACTAATACATCCAACTACATTAAACCGGGCAATTCGAACCGTGATGCTTGCCAAATTAACTAATTCCCAAAAAATTCAAAAGCATAATCTACAAACAAGATTACTCAGTTTCTCAAACACTCAATCGACTACTAAAAGTCACGAAAACGCCACACGGTATACTCACTGCATCCCAAATTACTAATTGACAGTCGTAATTTAAACTAGTAACGTGACAATTAAATCCGGAATAGGGTAATATTCAAAAACTAAAACAATGTCGAAATTTTCTATGATTCTACAGCATTTCTACGATTGAAGCATTAATTCAAATAATATACGGCAATAATTATCCCCAAAAAATGAAATGAGAAGGTTAAAGCTTACTTGTTGAAGTGATTGAATGACTTTATCCATGTAATCGATCTGGGAATCGTAAGCATTGTAGGGGAAATCGACATTGATTCCTCTGATGTTGTATATCGGCATTGCTATTGAATAATTAAAATTGATAATTTGGGGAATGGAATGCTAATAATCATCTATCACAGTGAACATAAACCCTAGAAATTGGAGGAGGAAATGGGGTTGCTTAAATTGAGAGTGTATGGAATTTCCCGCCAATTTGTCCCGACTAAGGACTAACCAAGGTCGTAGAGTCGAAGGGAGTAGGGACTCGTGGCTTCTTAGCGAATCCTTTGCTTTAGCTTTTTAGAAAGTTTTTAGGACTCGTTTGGTTGTAAAATTTGTAATGTGAATCAATTTACCATCGTAATTTATCAACGCAAATTTTTATATGTGACCACATGACTCGTTTGGTTGTAATGGGAATTAATTTTCCATGGGTGCTTCGTAATTTAAGAATATAAATTCTTATACTGTATGTGTTTAGTCACGGGACTCGTATGGTTACTTCATGGGACTTGTTAAACATCGCCCGCGTTTTTCTACATAAAGCCCACATTTTTTAAAAATTTTGACATTATTGCCCTTGTTTTAATTTTTACCGAAAATGAAAATTTTCACTCACCAAAAATGTGGAGCAGGACTGGATCGCCGAGTGAAACCGAAGAGCCCTCAACGTCGGCTAGATGCACCGGAGAGACGCCGTTGACGCCGGAAAAGGAGGTACGAAGCCATCTAAAACCACGAATTGGCGGCTGGCGTCCTGCCGGGACGCCGTGACCGTAGTGGTGGCGCCTCGCCAGGACGCTGCCTCCGTAGGTATGGCGCCTGGCCAGGACGCCGCCACCGTGGCCGTGGCGTCTGGCCAAGACGCCGCCACCATGAAAGCGGCGTCCTGGCCAGGCGCCATCGCCACGGTGGCGGCGTCCTGGCTAGACGCCACCGCCACGGTAGCGGCGTCCTGGCTAGGCGCCACTGCATTTTTTTTTTTTTTTTTTTTAAATTTAATTTAAAATTTGTTTTTTTTTTTTTTTTTTTTGTGTTACAATTTTTTTTCGTTTTTTTTTTGTTTTTTTTTGTTTTGTTTTTAATTGTTTTAAAATGTAATGTAAAATTTTGTGTTTGATTTTTGTGTTTTTGATCGCTATGTTTTTTATGTTTATGTTTTTTTTTGTTTTTATTTTTTTGGTTTTTTTTTTTTATTTAATCTAAAGTTTTGTTTATGTTTTTTATTTTTGTGTTTTGTTTTTTTTTTTTTTTTTTTTGAATACTTTTTGTTTATGTTTTTTATTTCTTTGTTTGTTGTTTATATTTTATTATTGTTTTTGCTTTTGTGCTAATGTTGTGTCAAATGTATTAATTTAATCTAATCTTATGTGATTATATTTATATATTATTGTTGCAGGATTATGGTGGAGACGGAAATGATTATAGTGGGATTTTTGTACACGATGGTCTGTTCGAAGATGCTCAACAAGCGGTTGATTGGGCGAAACATGTTGCAATTAGATCAGGTTTTTGTTTAGTAGTAGCAACTCATAAATCTCAACGGGATGGTAGAATGGATCGCATTTTGAGATGCGACCGTTATCGCAAAAGGGAGGAACGAGATTTCAGTCAAGCGATTCGGTTTGATACAAAGCGGAAAGGTTGTGGGTGTCAGTTCAGAGTAAAGGTTCGACAACAACAAAGGGGTGACGGTTGGGAAGTGAAGAGTTACGGTAAATGGGGGTATCACAACCATGAGATGATCGCATATGAAGTGGGTCATCGACAGTTAAGTGGCCTAAGTCCTGGTGCGAAACTAATTGTAAAAGAAATGAGTGATGCTCAAGTGAAGCCTGCTAAAATATTAGCATCTGTGTTGGAGAAATTTCCTGAAGACCAGCCAAACCGAAGACACATCTACAACGTCAGACAGAAATTGAGGTTTGAACGGTCAGAGGGAAGGAACCCTATACAGCAGCTTCTACACCAGGCACAAGCACGTGGTTACCTGTACTGGTTTGAATCTGATGAAGACACATCGGAGGTGACTCATTTGTTCCTTGTGCATCCTGATTGTGCTGATATGATTTCGTCTTGGCCATCTGTGATTCTGATCGATTCAACGTACAAGACAAACAAGTATAAGTTTCCACTGGTTGAGATGGTTGGGATGACTCCAACGAACCAGAACTTTTTGATTGGTTATGCAGTTATGAAGGATGAGACGGTTGCGAGTTACCGTTGGGTGTTGGAGAAGTTGAGAAATTACATCGGCCCAAGTGTTCAGCCATCGGCCATCGTCAGCGATTGTGAGGGAGGTCTCTTTGCCCCTATAGCGGAGCTGTTTCCGGAGTCGAGCCATTTACTGTGCACATGGCACATCAACAACTGCGTGAAAGTCAAAGCCTACAACCTTTTCAACAAGAACTTAGATTCAGCAGAGAGATTGGTAAATGGTAAGTGGCGGAAGATCCTGCAAGCTACCACGGAGGCAGAGTACGACCGAGCCTTGGATAACTTCAAGGATGCATACCAATGGTGCCCGGCAATCGTAGACTATGTGATGCAGCAGTGGGTGCCTCAGAGGGAAAAGTTTGTCAAATATTGGACAAACCAAGTTCTTCATTTTGGAAACACTACTACATTGAACATTTTCCATATAAAGACAGGATCCCTAACATCATGATGCCGTTCCTGGACGGGTGGAATGATGTGGTTGCAGATGGTAACTGCGGATTTCGGGTTGTGGCTGATGTGTTTCAGATGGGTGAAGACAACTACGGTTTAGTGCGTCAGTTGATGTACAGTGAAATCGCCTCAAACCGAGCTGTTTATCGCCACGTGTACGGACAGGACTTGGATAGGTCTCTGCAGCGTATCCGGTGGGGAGGAGGACGTTGCGGTCAAAATCATTGGTTCGACGCGCCACTTGATCTCTTCGCCGTTGCAAACATCTACAAGTGTGCAGTGATGCATTTCGGCCTTGGTTTGCATGGTGGAGCTTACTATCCATGTACCACGGTTCTGCCTTGGTGTTCGCGTGAGACCGTCACCAGACCGGTAAGAGAGGTTGCTATTGGATTTCTGGGGCCGTCATACAGACATTTCATCCGACTGGACCTGTCACCCGATTTTCCGGTCCCACCGATCATACCAACGTGGTACACCATTCGTACAGCAAGCGTAGAGGGCTAGGATGCGCTATATCATGACCGGGTGCAGCAGTGGAACAATCTAGTTGCCTTTTCTATGTGACCTTCTATTGTTATTGCTATGTTTTTCCCATTTATTTAATTTTCGGATTCTAATTTTCGTATTTAGTTTTCCCATTTAAATGTGAACTTGTATTTAATTTTCGTATGCCCACTAATTACAACTTAAAATAAAAATTATAAAAACTAAAAATATAATGTCAAATTCTAAGAACTTAAAATAATAATTATAAGAATAGATAATGTTAACTTTTACAAACAACTAGGAAAATGTTATATAAATGCACTGCCGACATATCAATAATCTCTCTGTGACGCCCACTGCCACTACTCAAGGGCCCGTTCCAGTTCATCAATAACAGCTCTGCCTGTTGCAGTCGTCATGTTGTCCCTCTCCTCAAAAAGTCTGTGTCCCAACTGCGTCATCTTTCCCATCCACTACACATAACAAAACACATAAAATTCAATAACGACGTATTATATGAAAAAAAACACAACTACAAATGTTTTATGAGACGTACCGCATCCACGGCAGTGGGCGGTGGCACATCATCATCATCGGCGTCGTCGCCGTGGTGGACGTCTCTGATCAAACTCGGGTGCGAGTGCCGGTTGTACCACTCCATGTAGTGCTGGTCACACATGGCAGCCACCCCAGTTGGCGGCCGCTGCAGCTGCTCAATCCATATGCGGGCAACCATCGGAAACTGCTCCCACGTGCCAATCATGCTTGCCGGCCATTGGACGACGTACTCCTTCGACGACGCAGATCGGACGGCCTTACTGGGCCATGCTGGTGGAGGAGGAACAACTTGGACATATCCAAGCTGGCGAAGACAGCGCTGCGGCATGTACGCCTCTACGATCTCACGATACTGAATCAGTCCCGTGTAGAGGGTCCTGGGTACCCTATTACTAGGGTTCTGGCCGAAAGGCATCCAGTTCACCTGCACATTTTTTAAAATTAGTAAGATTCATACAATAAACACATCAAACTATAAAAGTAGAAATAATTTAAACACTTTACCTCTAATGGGGACATCCTGTCAAGCAATAACCGTATCGATCGCAGGCGGTCAATGGACTTCTTCTCGACACGCGGACTCCACGCACAGGCACGTGGCTGGCCATCCCCAATAGGAACCGGGTCGCGGTGTGGTCGAAACGCCGGGAAATACTCGTATATCCACGTCTGTAACAACGTCATACATCCAGTGATACCTGCCGCATCAGCCCGGCTCGAGAATCCTAACTGGCGATACATGTACGCTAATGTAGCCGACCCCCAAGAAAACTGGCCTACTCTGTCGGGCTCACACGCGTCAACTATGTCGCGTGGCCTGAGCTTGTTTCCGCTCTTATCCGGAAACAAGGTACACCCGAGAAGAAGAAAAACATATGCAGCCAGCTGTGTGTCCTGCGTCCTACGTGAAGTGGGGTGCAAACATCGCTGCAAAACTGCTGCGATCTTAACACCGCCGTGATCCCACACACCAAGTGCCGCTGTGTACAGCGCAACCCTATCCACCGCCAACAGCTCCGCCAATAAATCTGCCTGATCCGCATCTGTGACAACAGATGCTCGGTTTCCCTCTACGGGAATCCCAAGGATGGCCTCGACGTCATGCAACATGATCGTCATCTCACCGAACGGAAGGTGGAAAGAGTTCGTGTCCGGCTGCCATCGCTCAACGAAAGCCGTGATCAGCGTCGAGTCAATCCTCTCATGCATGGTGGCAGGAAGGTGGCTCACTCTAGTGCCCCTCAATCGGCCGACCATCTCGCTCTCCTCCGGCCAAGCCTCAGCCCAACTACATAAGAAGTTACAAGTCCTCTCCCGGGTTTGGCATTTCAAAATGCCGCTATCCAAAGCCCGCTCTTGGTCCTCCCAAATACGGGTAGCGATGTGTCCTAGAAAGCTAGGAATCACACTCCCGTCTATAGGTCCCCCAGCCACCTCGCCCCTCACCACCCAAGAATCATTAACGGCCCTCGACCGTTTTCTGCTAACCGCAGACACAGTGGACGCAGATGATGTGCCAGATCTACTAACAAATCTACCATCTCTACCCTTACGCACGTCTACCCTACGCGTCTCATACACATCATCAAGCCTCTGACTGAATGGACCGTAATCATCATATGGTCCACTCTGATCGTCCACATCCTCATTTGCATCCTCCTCCTCCTCCTCCTCATCACCATCATCATCTTCATCATCCTCAGAATAGTGCACCCGTTCTCTACGAGCCGAGGCCGAAATACCACGGGATCTAACGTGTCTGGGCCCCGAGCTCTCCATTGAGTTGATCGTACTTCTCATAATGTCCATACTCTTCCCAGCCCCAGAACGAAAATACGATGCCTAACACAAAATAACAAAACATGTAATATGCAATATAAACATGTAATATAAACATAAAAAAAGTAATTAAAATAAATAAATAAAACAATATACATATGATGGAAAATAAATTAAAAACATTACAAAATATTAACAACCTAAAAATAAAAAAATTAATAACCTAATAAATAAATAAATAAAAAATTGGAAAAAACAAAGCAAAAAAAAAAATTACCCAAAAAAAACAAATTGGAAAAAACAAAGTAAAAAAAAAAAATTAAAAAATAAAACGGAAAAACAAAAACAAAAAAAAGCAAAAAAAAAATTTGAAAAAATAATTCAAAAAAAAAATAAAAGAAAATGAAAAAAAAAAAAAAAATTAGGGTTCCGGCGCCTGTCCCAGACGCCAGAGCCACGGTGGTGGCGCCTGGGCAGGACGCCGGTGCCACGGTGTTGGCGTCTGACGTGGACGCCGCCACCGTGGTACCGGCGCCCTGCCCAGGCGCCATCACCGTGGCAATGGCGTCTGGGACAGGCGCCGGAACCGTGGTGTCGGCGTCTGGGCCAAACGCCGCCGCCCATTCGCCGCCGTCCAGCCACCAGTCGCCGCCGGGCCGCCACCTTTTCCGGTTTTTTTTTTTTTTTTTTTTAAATAAAAAAATTAACAAAAAAAAAAACATACCTTTCCTCCTCCAAACCCCCTTGCTCCGGCCACCGGTGCCGCCACTTCCCTGCCTTGCCGCCTCGACATTTTGAAAAAATATTTTCGAGAGAGAAAGTGAGACTACAAAGTTAAGAGAAGATGAGAGTGTGTTTTTTACTAGAGTAAAGAGAATATAATTTTAGTTCGAGGGCAAAAGAGTCATTTCACTTTTAATTTGTGGGCTTTATGTGGAGATTTGCGGGCGATGTTTAGCAGTTCATTACTTCATTAGTGTAATGGGAATTACTTGGTCAGTGTCAAAAGGGTTACTCAGGGCCTGTTCTCTTCGGCTTAATTTCAGCTCAGTTCTGTTCAGCTCCAATCAGTTCAGCTCAGTTCATAATTTCAGTAAATTAGAACAGGCCCTCACTTACTCTAACAATGTTATAGGGTTACTCGATCAGTATTATCGGAATTATTTGATCAATGTTATATGGATTACTTTATTCTTTCTATAAGTAGTCATACGGTGTGGCCAGCCACACACAAAACAGGCTAATTTATGAGAAAATTCAAGTTTTTCTCTGAGATAAATCAATAAATATATTTCCTCTCACACTCTAGTCTTTTTCTTTAATTTTAAAATGATAAAATTAAAATAGTGATGTGGCACAAAAATAAATGCATAAAGTTGTGAGACGAAATTAACTAAAATGTTAATCTCTAATATAACATGGACTCCCTCATAATGTATAGTTTGTGGGAAATTATTTTCCTCCTCAAATTCCTACGAAATTGCTTTATGTTGTTTGGTTGGCATTAGGGGAATTATAATTCCGAATTCCCAATTTTTGTGAGTAATTGAAATTTCTAGGAATTTCTATTTCCTCCATTTTACACTTTTTTTGTTAACCAAACAACTCACCGTTAATGTATTTCCTACAAGTTTTGAGTGCCTACATAAAATTAATGTAACCAAACAAAGCCTTAGTTATCTAACACTAGTAGGAGGTTGTGGGTCCAAAACCTTATTCATACGTTTTCGAATCCTACTCTAATAAGTATGGGTCAGGTAGGGTATGGATCTAGGTGGCATTGAGTACATTATGGATTCGTGTATAATATTTTTATATTCAACCATACCCACACTCGAACATAGACACTAGATCTCCATAATTTTTCTTCAATTAACTCATGTCATACCTATAAAGAAGGCAATCGAACAACAAATTATGTTCCTTCCATGGGGCATTTTTGCAAGGTCATTATAATAATGATCCATGTGTAAATAGTTAATTTTCTTTTTGTCCTAACCTCGGGCTAGCGGGTGCAAGTGGAGTTTATTTAAGGCAGTGAAGGTGAATTACATGAATTACTTGCCTCAAATTGTCGTCACTGACTCCTGTTATGTACTAGAGTTGAGTTATTGTTGATTTTACGAGGTTTGGTGATAGCATAGAATAGGGGGCATCATAAGGTGCAAATGAAATAGACTCATAATTGACGGTTCATATGTTGGCTGGTTTAACTCCTCCCACCTTGATCTCTTTATTTTCATTTCATGTGAAAGTGTAAGACCTTTTTTTGTGAAAAACAATTGATAAGTCACTATCAAACATTGTTGTAGAGAACACAGTAGAGTAGTGGGTTGGTTGACTAAATGTGGGGTTCACTTGCAACAAAAAAGGCTAGGCATCTTTGAGACGGTTTCGAAGGATCTTTGTATCATTTTATTTGATGACTCGGGTTGAGTGGCATTCCCATGACGGATGCAAGTGATCTTTTTGTTTTCTATAAGCTTCTTTTTTTTCTTTTTTTTTTTCGTGTGCCTTTGATTTTGTAGTCTTTTTTTGTTTTCATTCGTGTGTGGTTTGCTTTATTCACTTGTTGAGGCTTTCCCCTTAGTTTCAACAAAAAAAAAATAGTATATTTTTCCGCCTAAGAAAAGTTAGTTAATTTACCCATGATTTTGCTAGTTGTCATAGTAAGTAGTTGGTACTTGTATAATATTATAATTAGTAGTGTAAAGACTTACCAAAAGGCCAAAATCTAGCAGCGTAGATAGAGAAAAATGTAGTTTACGCAAAAGAAAATCTAAATTTACAAATGCATAACATACATAATCAAATAAAGATTTAATTTGTAGATTACTATGATCTTTGAGTGGATCTTACACATTTGAACATCTCTCGGTTTATCCCTACTTTATAATAAGTAGAATCTTGCTTTTATGAATAATGCTGTAACAATTATAACCCCAAAAATGCGTATTTACGCATTTGCCCCTATTTAATATTACAAGATTTTTTAAATATTGTACATCTTTTCTTTGTTATTACGTATTTTTCATCTTCCCATTCACCTCATACAGACCCCGGCCGCCCTCTTCCACCACCTACCCCTCTCCTCGTTTCCTTGTCAATCCTTCTTTTTCCTTTTGTTTATTGGATTATTTCGTCATATTATCTACTTTTATTGGCCCCAATTTGATTATAATTGTTCTTGATTTGGGAATTTTGGAAATTTTTTTGGCCCCAATTTGATTTTATTTGTTCTGATTGTGGAATTAGGTACTTCAATTCAATGGAGATGTGAACGAAGATGGAGAAGAAATAGAAAGTTAAAAATTAATGCTTAGTAAGGGAGGTGAACAGAGATGAAGAAGAGAGTGAAAGCTCAACTTTCATTTTGGGTAAGAAAATGAATAGACAAAGAGAAAGTAAAAAAGTGTAAGAAATTACTCCAATTCATAGGCATAATAGCAAAATTTCATTATTCCTCTATTTGTTTCTCTTTGTTTTTCACCTTGTAATATGTATCAAAATTTTATTCTAGAGAATCATCTAGACTCTATAAGAAAAGCATATAAATGCTATTTTTTACTCTTTAAAATAGATAAAAAAAAAGTTAATGATATATGATTTTGAACTTAATAGTCGATTATTACTCTAAGGTTCATTGTATTAAATCTTACCAGTTTAAAGGTATTTAAAGATTGCATAAGACATTTTACGTGCAAATTGCTTACTAATAATAACTATGTACAAGCTAAAATCTTAAGTATAAAGACAAGCCTTGATAACTTCTCCGCATTGGCTAGCCATGGTCGAGCGCATCGGTGATTATTATTTAATTCATGCCATTATATTGAAAAATAAATAAGGTGTCATTTGGTTGAAAAATAAATAATAAAATCATGAGAATTTAAAATTCCTAAGAATTACTATAATTCTTTTATGATGTTTGGTTGACAAATTTATGAGAAATACAAAGTAGAAATCTCAAGGAATCTCCACTTCATATAAAACTAGTGTGTGTCCCGGGCGATGCCCCGCCCAAATTGCTAGTCTGTACTTCCTTAACTTGATAATTATGTTCAAGTGTTGTATAGCTAGTGTGTGATTTGGGCGTTGTCCCGGACGTTACGGTTTTTTTTACTATATATGTATTTATTTTCTAATACTGTGAAAAATAAATAAATTACATAAACTCTAATTTAAAAGGAATATATAATGTTAAATATGCGAAATTAAATCACAAATAAAAGTTGGTGGAGATGGTAAGTGTGTAGCACTTGT